CCCCAAAACCCCAAAACCCCAAAACCCCAAAACCCCAAAACCCCAAAACCCCTTTATGGAAAAGGATCATTGAAAAGTCTTTATGAACTATGAATGAACAAACTTAGCCTTCTGTTTTGACAAAAATGCTTCCACTCCAATCTTCGCGTCCTTTGTGCCCGTCAAAGAGTTGAACATCGATGACTCGTACCTCATTCCTTCGGACAGTCCAGCTTCAGCCGAGTAGTTCACAGCCATCTTGGCTGCAGCCACAGCAACTTTGGACAATTTCCCAATTTTCTTGGCTAATTTTAGGGCTGCTTCGAGCAGCTGGTCAGGAGGGAGCACAGATGAAGCAAGTTTGAAGTGGAGTGCTTCTTGAGCATCGATCATTTCACCAGACAAAATCATCTCCATAGCCTTGGATTTACCGACTTGTCTGATAATTCTTTGAGTACCTCCAGCTCCTGGAAAAAGACCCAATTTTATTTCTGGAAGTCCAAACTTTGCATTCTCTGAAGCCAAAATAACATCACACATCAAAGCTAGCTCTAGTCCCCCGCCAAAGCAGTATCCATTGACTGCAGCAATAATTGGCTTTCTGAAAGATGGGAGGATCTTGTACCAATCCCTTTCAAAGTAATCATTAAAGTAGACATTTGGAAATTTATTAGTCTTCATTTGGTTTAAATCAGCACCTGCAGAGAAGGCTTTTCCAACCCCTATATTAGTCATGTTATTGTAGCTTACCTGTGACGACAACAGAGTTGATTCTATCATCTAGAGAGTAAATGAGTACTTCGCTTACCTTTCTCCAAGTTCAGAAGGTGAGCATTCAACTCACTCCAGATCTGCTCGCTCAAAGCATTCAGTGTCTTTGGTGAGTTAATCGTCAATAATGCAGTCCTGATATCTTCTTTAATCTATAAAATTTTAAGATATTTGGGTGCCAAGGAGCTTAATTATTTCTCAAATCTTGAGATTGTTCGAGCTAAGATACATTTTGATTTACAAGAGCAATTCTGGTAAACGATTGTAATTAAAATTTGGTACTTAGAAATGGAGACCATAGATATGTCGAACTAATTCGATAGCAATAAGATAGGATTGTGAATGTTTCGATATCTCTTCCACAATTTTTAATATGAAAATCTTCTCAATATTTAACAAAAAGGTACTAAATATATCCAAGATCTCTACTACCATTATCCTAATCTTCCAATCACGAAAAACCATACCTCAAGCTGAACCACAGCTGTAGGACCTTCACTCTGAGTCTCCTGGTCTTGCCCATTCACAAAATGTCCCTGAAGTATCTTAAGTCTTGCCAAAGATCTGTTCATATTATTTAAAAATTACGTAATTCAATTACTTCAGCCCCATTTGGGGTTTTGGGGTTTTGGGGTTTTGGGGTTTTGGGGTTTTGGGG